CCCCAAAACCCCAAAACCCCAAAACCCCTCAACTTTATTAATTTAATATCGAACAAATTTTCAAAAATAATTAAGGTTTAACATGATATTGCTATTTTTTTAATACAAATTTAATGAAATAGATTTATAATTATAGTAATTAAAGGTCAATTGTTAATTAATGAAACTAAGATAATCAGAGTTCATTAGGACTTCTATGATTCCAGAGCCTTCTACTAATTGGTAGAAGTTCGAGTATTTCTTGTGGAAAGACTTTATTTCTCTGGCCTATTAACACTTAAATTCTGCACCTTGGGCAAACAAGCATGCCGTTGCTGCTTGGAGAATTCTAGCCTTTTTGTACTTATTTGGATTAGCAATATGGACAATAGCTGATGATCCTAAACTTTGCTGGATATATTTTACTAAATGGGGAGTGTTTATCACTACAATAACTTATGGGATACTTGCAGCTTATTAAGTTAGATAATACATTCTAATAAGATCTAAGAAATCTGTGCTACAACATTATTAAAACTTTTACTCTCCATGGTTATTGTGGAAATGGGGTATAATATTCTATGAGAGTGCATTTACCTTTGAAGTTGTTATTACCCTATTCTTTTGGGCAATACTTTACCCTGATTCAGATCATTCAGATCCTAATAATTTAAGAAATAACTTGTTGCTACATGCCTCTCCGATAGTAGTTCTTGTCACTGATTATGTTATAAATAGGATTCCGTTTTAATTCAAGCATTTGCCTTTGTCACTATTTATTCTAATTGTATATGGACTTGTAAATATGATATATACATTGACATCTGGTACTCCAGTTTATCCTCCTTTAAACTTTAAAGATGGAATGACTGCTGTTTGGGTATTAGTACTATTTTGTATTGAAACAGGAACATATACTGGAATGTATTTCTTAACAAGATGGAAAATTAGAAAATACAGGCTATTGGATGCAGATTCAAGCAGTGAACTCACAATATTTGAAGTCACCTCTAATCTAAATTCCTTTGGTAAATCAAATGATAACACACATTCTAAACTCATAGAGAGCGCAGAGCCTTCTCCATGAAATGCTTAATTCTCATCAACAAATATTATAGTTATCATTAATTTCTTGATTAAAATTATTTGAAGCAATATACATTCTAATCTGGAAGCTGGGGTTTTGGGGTTTTGGGG